AAAGCAGTAGGAGAATGAAATTTTATATTCGAAAACCTTGTGTTGCTAAGTTATTATGCACAAAGTTTCACATTTCTCATACCTTTCCTTCCAGAGACATTAAAAAGCCGAACTTTAACTTTTTTTCAAGCCGCAATAATTTCGGCCAACTTTGCTCCAAATTGTCTAAGTGGAGAACGCTCATGAGAATGTTTCTATTATTTTGTTTAACAGAGCACAAAAAGTTGTACAAGATGGCCAAGTTTTGTTTCTCCCAACAAAATATTGCCAGAGATATTACGTCTCAAACTTCCTGGAACCTCAGAGTCATACTGTAGAAGGCTGCTGTATGGGGTCAAACAAATGACTATATCTCTGCAAGTATTGCATCGGCACATGTAACACTTTACCAATGTTCATTGGGGACATGTGTGCATGTTCACCAAAAATTTCATCAAAATCGGTGATGGTCGAGCAGGGCACTTTTCTGAAATCAGACCACTTAACTTTACCTCTACTGAAGCAACAGTCTCTGTCTGCCTTTCAAGCTGCCCAATCTGACATACCGTATTTTTCAGGGCATAAGATGCTCCGAAGTATAAGGCACACCTAGATTTTGGGGAGGAAAACAATGGAAAAATATCTGTCTCTGCCTCTCAGCAATTTGCCTCTTTGCAACAAAGAGTACAGACAATATACACTGTTTGTGGTGTTATATTTCATACTATACTTGTACAGATGCTGTTAAAATCGATATGCTTTCTGGAAGTATAGTTATTCTCTGCTATTTAAAAGAATAGCACTTTTTAAAACAATAGCACGGGGCCTCTTCAGATCAACCATTTATTTTAAAAAGCTTCTTCATTTTGTCAAGCTGTCTAGAATAATAATAAAACAGGCTTTAAAAAAATCAGTCTAATTATTTTGAACATTCTACAGGTATTTATAGTTATTGATTTACCTCCTTGCAGCAAAACAGCCTGATCAGCATAAGAAAAAAAAATCTGCCTCCCAGCAATTTGCCACGTGGAGCAAACAGCAAGTTTCACTTTCAATTTCTCACCATTGTCAGCTATTTGAGGCTGTAGGGGTTGTTACTGAAGCCTCTGCAAGCCCCTTTTGCTGCAGAGGTAAATTGCTGGGAGGCAGAGGCCAAAGGGTTGGGGCCCATATGTGTGTGTGTTTGTTTGTGGCTACATTTAGTGTATAAGATGCACCCAAATTTTCACCCCCTTTTTTGGGGGGGGGGGAAGGTGCACCTTATACTCTGAAAAATATGGTACTTTTTTTCAGTTTTCCCATATTTGAAACACTTTTTAAAGATAATTATCATACAGATCCTGCATTTTTACATAGGGACCAAAAGCTCATTTTGCTGAAGAAACGAACATTACTGGATTACACATTTGGAGAAGAAATTTGAGGATTCCCTACTTCCCATCATCCCCAAGAATGAGCCATTGTTCTAAGCAGGTTCCTGAACTAAAATAGATTAAAATATGGCGTTAGCCAGGCTTCCTAGTGTTCTGCACCAAAATCTTATCACTCTTGTGAGTCCAGAGGGGGTGGGGATGATTTCAGATGTGTTTTAATTTTTACTGTCTCCCCCACCCCCTCCCCGTGCCATCTGAGGTGTTAAAAGCATTTTGGTGCTCAAGAACAGTGTAGTAACATTCCTGTCTTTGAGTGATAGCTAGAAAAGAATCTCCCTCACCCTCCAAACTTTATTCTTCATACCTGTGGACTTCAATTGTTACTGCATGAACTTAGATAAAGCATTATAAACCCTGTTTTTGATAGTTTAAGGGATGATGGGGGTGAAAGTTCAAACATCTGGAAGGCACATACTTGGGAATAGTATCCTAAAGGAGAAAAAAAACTGCCAATTGATTTTTCTTCCAAGGTTTAATGGCCAAGCCATTAAAAAGTACTCAAGCTCACCCCTCCCTTCTAAGCACTGCAACTATGAAAACAAGCAAAGCACAATAGGACATAGGGTTCATTTCCCAGTTAAAGTTGGAGATTGAATCCTTTTAAAACTATGGTTTTTTACAGTAGGGAAGCTACACTGTGATGGGCAAAGTTACCAGTAAACTACAAGGGTAGACAAATGCATTTCGCAGGATGATGAAAAGGAAGTTATGCAGCAACAGCTTATGAAAGTCTTCCTGCTGATCATTCAGCTTAACAGCAGCACAGCTCAGTTTCCAAAAGATCTTCTGTTACTCCAGCTTACCGCTGGTTCAGCGGATGTTAGGATAGATGTGGGTATTTCCATCAGAGGCTGCCACCAACCAGCACAGATCCAAATATGAGTGTGAACTTCAACCATCAAAGAGCCAAGTTACCGGTCCATGTTGTTTTCATCAGGTTGACTGTGGAAGCAAAGACGCAGCAGGGTCTCGCAGAAATCCAGCTCCTCCTTTATTTATTTATTTTTTCAAGTTTAAGAAAAGAAAAAAGAATAGGTGATCAATACATTCTTGGATTTCTGCAACTTTATACCCCTGTCAGTAAAAGTCCAAACTAATGAGAATTTTCAGTGCAGGCAGCAATCATTTGCCTTACTGGCAAAACCTCAATCTCAATACTATTGTTGTTTTTTTTCATTCTGTCCCACAAATGACTTGTGTTACCGTTATTTTTCAGAGTATAAGCCACACCAAGAATTTGAAGAGGCAAATTTAAAAAAAAGTGTTTGCACTTTGTGCACTCTGCAGACCTCACAAAAACGGCCTGGTTTTCACGAAAACGGGCCTGGTTTTTGTCAAAAAAAGAGCATGCATAGCCTTTAGGAGCTTGTAGAGTACTCCTGGGGGCGGCGGGGGGAGGGCAAAAACGAGCAAAAAAGGAGCATTTTTTTGTAAAAAAAAAGGGGGGGGGCATGTATAGCTTTTAGGAGGCTTCCAAAGTGCTCCGGTGGGGGGGTGGGCGAGCAAAAACTAGCCCATTTTTCGCTCATTTCTGCCCTCCCCAGCCCCCAGGAGCACTCTGGAAGCCTCCTAAAGGCTATGAACGGCCATTTTTGCAAAGGGGGAGGGGCTTGGGGAGGCCAAAAATGCTATATTCAAGGTATAAGATGCATTCAGATTTTCACCCTTTTTTGAGGGAAAAAGGTGCGTCTTATACTCCGAAAAATACAATAATTCCTGTAATATACTGTTAGACAACCATAGCTAATACAGGCAGTCCTTGACTTGCAACTGGTTGCCTAGTGAACCATTCGAAGTTATGATGGACCTTCCCAATTCTGATGTCCAGGTCCCCCTTGCAGTCACATGATCTCATTTTGGGCCCTCGGCAACTGGCCCAGATTTATGGCCATTTGCAGCACCTCACAATCACATGATCTTGATTTTCATTTTTTACTCGACCTGGCACTTCCTGTTTCTGTCAAAAAATGCCATTTGCAATGGATTCACTTAACAACTGCAGCATTCAATTTATATAACTGCAACAGAAAAAAAAGTCATCAAACTGGGCACAATGACATGGCGATATGCTTAATGACTGGAGTGACTCACAGGTATAATTCTGGGCTCAATTGCAATCATAAATCGAGGATTACTTGTAGGCATGCCCTGACTCAGTTCTCTGATGGGACGATTTCAGACTCCCATTTTGGGCGAAGAGGGGGAGAGAAAGGTAAGACATTTTTATTTGGAAAGCTCCCATATTAAACAAGAATGAATAATTGCCTCCATCAAATACAGGTAGTCCTCAACCTACGACTACAATTGAGCCCAAAATCTAAGTTGCTAAGTGAGAAATTTGTTAAGTGAGTTTTGCCCCATTTTACAACTTTTCTTGCCACATTTGTTAAGCAACTGCAGTTTCTGCAGAAGGTTGCAAAAGAGGATCATGTGACTCTGGGAAACTGCAGCCGTCGTAAATATGAATCAATTGCCAAGCATCTGAATGGAAATCACGTGACCACGGGAATGTTGCAACGGTAATAAGTGAGAAAAACGATGATAAGTCACTATTTTCAGTGCCATTGTAACTTCAAACTTGTCACTAAACGAATTGTTGTCAGTCAATTACCTGTGTTAGTTTTCCTTAATTGTAAGTGGGGGAAAAAAAATTTTTTTTAAATTTCAAGAGCTGTATTCTAGCAGGATTACTTGGAAGTGGGAGGCCTATTCCATGCCAAAGAGAGAACTCAGCAGTTACTATAACTGGAACAAAACTTGGATCCAATCGTCCATTTCCCCTTCCTTCACAGAAGAAACTGCAGGAAAGACACAGGGAACTTGTTCCAGGCGGGCAAAATAACTATCTGAAAAAGCTTTTACAATCAGGCTACAGTCCACATGAATTTAATTTAAGGACTTGCAAGAGTCTTAGGCAACAGGTAACCCAGCCCCCTGCAGAGCCCTAATATCCATCAGTCCCCACTGATGTGGGCAATGTCTAGGGACTGTGGAAAAGGAGACCAAAATCTCTGCAGGGGAGCACGGGACTGTCCTTATTCATCCTTGCTCAAATGTTCTGTCCACCATCCTGTTGGCATGCACAGCAGAATAAACTCCTGGGACATTTTTGTTACCAAGAATAAAACTTTACTGACAGATCCATATAGGGATAGAATAAAGCCAGTTCTGAGGTTTTGGTGTGAAGCACATCATAGTAAAGCCCTCTTTTTCCTTCCTCTACGCCAGTGGTCTCCAACCTTGGCAACTTTAAGACCTGTGGACTTCAACTCCCAGAGTTCCTCAGCCAGCTTTGCTGGCTGAGGAACTCTGGGAGTTGAAGTCCAAAAATCTTAAAGCTGCCAAGGTTGGAGACCACATCTAGACCACCCTGTGTCCACTGTCCACCAATCCAGGTTAAGCATTTCACTTTGGGAAACAATCTGCACATTTCAAATATCTTCAGCGTCTGACCTTGAGGTTGCAAGATTTTCTCAAGCTGCAAACGGCTCACGTAAGTTCCATTTTTCCTTCCCAGCTTCCCATTCATTTTAGTCATCCTCATCCCCCCCCCCCACTTAGCGTCTTTGTCAAACTGTGAGCAGAAAGAGGTGCTCTACGAGTGATCTTTAGACTAAAAAAATGGGAAAATAATCCTTTGAATCATGACTAATAAGCATGGGGCCTCATAGTGTCAGCCACACAGGTAGAACAGATGGGAAATATCACCAGATAAGCTAAGTCTATTTCACTGTGAAGCTGGAGTAATAGAATCTTGCAAATCTCCTCCATTGAGAGAATACGTATAAGTCTCCCACCGTCTCCTTAACAGCCCAAGAAACTAGGGAGGGCCCCTTCTCTTTCCCTGCCCATCATCCAACTGCAGGCTATATTGTCACTTACCTGTTTCCTAGGCATGGTCACCTTATTTCCCAGGGCTATTCCCACATTCTATTATGTCCTCATTTCGCAACCATTTACGGTTATAAAAAAGTACCTTTATTACCAAACCTCACATATTGCAAAGAAGAGCTGAAGTAAATGTGAACACTGTCATGGTTACACTTAACCACTTCATTTAACCAAGTCGCCAGTCCCAATTATGGTCTCTAAAGGCGGACTATCTGTAAGGACAAATGTAGCATCAAATCTATTTCATCTGTACTGGCTGTCCTCCTCCCACCCACCCCCATTAAAGCCCAATTTTGAGTATGTTGTAGCTTAAAAAACATTTCATTTCAAACTAGCTTCCAGCAGTTGTAAGCACAAAAAGAAATCATGCATTTAAGTGTTACAATATAAAGCTATGGCTGCTTTTTTAAAATACTGGATTTAAATGTGTTATATCTCAAGTGTTTTAGCCAAGCTCTTTAGTCAAGCAAGCTCAGAGTGTGACCTGCATGAAACGAATATAAACAATATACTCCCTGCCGGAAAGATTACCATCAGTAGTGATGTAAAAGAAAGGATTAAGAGAAAATTAAAACCAAAAACCAAACAGTGAATAAAATGAAATGAAACAGAGAGTTTAGTGAGGAATCATAAAGCATTGATCCCTAGGAATGCGGAGTGGCTTTATCAATGCCATATTGTCTACTCTATACAATACAAATAGTCCTTGACTTACAACAGTTCATTTAATGACTGTTCAAAGTTACAAAGGAACTGAAAATAGTGACTCATGGCCATTTTTCACACTTTCAACCACTGCAACATCCCCATGTTTACATGAACTAAATTTGGATGCTTAGCAATTGGTTTCATATTTATGAAAGTAAGTGGACGGCCATATAAAATCTCTAAATAAATTAGGTTTATTACCTGTAGAATCTGACATATAATTATCTGTAGAATCCAAACAGCTAACGATTCAAGATATGACATAAGGGATCCAACAAAAGAAAGTGAGAGAATTCAAAGCAGGGATAAATTAAGAAAGAAAATAGATATATTTCAACCACACAATTTTATCAAATTTGTATTTATATGCACATACATGTGCATACAATCATCTAGGGCAGTGTTTCTCAACCTTGGCGACTTTACGTCCTGTGGACTTCAACTCCCAGAATTCCTGGGGGATTCTGGGAGTTGAAGTCCATAGGAATTAAAGTCGCCAAGGTTGAGAAACACTGATCTAGGGAATGCCCAGTTAACCAAACAAACAAATATACCAGGGAACTGTTTTCCCTGGGTATCTGAAAAGAACAAATCAAATAGGTATTATTTAGAAGAAAAGAATTGGACAAGATATAAAAACGAACACAACCAGAGAAACTGATTAGTTTCCCAGAGCTGAGGAAATATGAGGAAGATGATCACTGAGATGCGTAGAACTTGCCTCCAGGGGCCGGGATTTTTTTTTTTTTTAAAGAATGCCTTTGAGGTTTGAAGCTTGGATGGGGGAAAGAGAGATGGCCCAACAGCAATGAACAGAGGGAATCAGGCCTCAGCTGAATCCCAGTGTAGCAGTTTTCTCAGTGAAGAAATCTCTCTGTGTTGTTTTTTTTTTAAATGCCTTAAAGCCATTGTTGATTCCTAGCAACTGTCTGGACTAGTTTTCTTGGCAAGGCGTTTGAAGTGGTTTTTCCTGCCTTCTTCCCAGGACTGACAGATAATGACTGGCCCCAAGTTTCCCAGCTGGCTTTGTGCATGAAAGAAGCAACAGAAACTCGCAACATCCGAGTTTCTACTCTGATGATTTAACTACTATATCAAACCGTTCTCCTTTTTATCTTTGTAAGAAAGAAATAGCTGAATAGGCAATGGATATTCCATCTGTACTAGAAATAAGCAGGGAGGTATACTAGGATGTAGCTTATCATAATAACTCGAAAGTGTAAGCCTTACTTGGGCTTATACTTGCCCAGCAGGCTAGGCCACAGAAAAACCTACTTCCCGAGTCTGTTGCAAACATGGCCCCATAACTACTTGTGCATGATGTTTCCATCTGGCAGTGCTATGGAGCCTGGCAAAGAGAAAGGGAAGGGTGGTAGTTAAAAGACAGTGC